GATGCGTAATCAACGCTAAATAAATTATGTAGTTGTCTAGTTGAGAAGTTTTGTTGGATGTTGTATGATTGAAAAACAGATGCAACAAGGTAAGTTGTGTGTTGATAGGTAAATGCATGTGAGTGTGTTAATTACGCTTATGTACTCAGCTTTGTTGATTGTGTGTTTTGTGTGTTTGTTTTCCTTGTCTTTATCTTGGCCCTATGATGACCCATTTCTAATGGAGAGTAGTGGAAACAAGTAGAGAGAAGCTTTTCAGGTGATGAAGCATATTCATGACTAACGCTTTAATTATTTATGATATTATTATGCATGACTAACGCAAAAGTTTTATAGATGGTTTGGTTTTTATAAGGTCCTATAATGGTTCCAAGTTGTAGGTTGATTTATTTTACTTCGTTTGACTTGGGTTTGACTTTACTTTCGTTGGTTGACTTTTCAAGTTGACTTGTTTAAGATGGTTTTGAAATTAGTCTTCCATTGTGTGTCTTTGATAGTTACCTTAGCCGTTTGCACGGTGGCGGTAATATCTTAGATATTCTTATTTAAAGTTTTAAATAGGGCAAAACATGTACTTTAAAAGAAAGGAATTTCTAGGGTACGGTGTTACAATAACACAATTGGGCAATCATATCATTGAGGCAAACATTATATCGGGAAGCAACATTGGGCATAAAGTTTTTATTCCTCGCATGATCTTAAGTCCATCTGACATAACATTGCCATTCAAATTTCAACGAAGGCAATATCCATTGGTGGTATGTTTTGCAATGACTATTAACAAAAGCCAAGGTTAGTCTCTTTCTAATGTAGGCTTATATCTTTCGAGACCAGTTTTTAGTCATGGTCGGCTTTATGTAGCAATATCAAGGGTTACATGGAGAAGTGGTTCAAAAATTTTGATATGTGATAAAGAAGGTCCGATTTACAGTACTACAAATAATGTAGTATTCAAAGAAGTATTTCAAAGTTTGGCATAACAAGTACATTACTTCTCATAACTTACAACAAAATATTATTGTAATATGAACTCTCTCTCTCTCTTATTTTTTACTACATATATCCTTTTTATTTATTTACTATAAATTTATTTTATTTTTATTTTTTTGGGAAATTCTCAATGGTACTCTTAAACTTTTTATTTTTCTCAATGGTAAACATCAAAAAAATCAAATTATCTTTGGTAATCAACAATTTGTGTTATTAATTCAATGGTGATATTTATGAGATAAATCTAAAATTATAAGCCTAACCATAGTTAACTAATGGGGAAATGACTAATATATCCTTGAAATCATATTTTCCTTTATTTTTTTAACAATTAAATTAATGTTTTTTTTAAAAAAAAACCCTCAACAGCCACCACAGCCAACCACCACATCCACTCAACCGCCAGCCTCAATCCCCTTTCCTACACCCGGTCGCGCCCAAAACCCCCGGCCCAAAACCCTCGGCCCGGCGTCGGCGCCCAAAACCCCCAGCCCGGCGTCGGCGCCCATGAACCACCAGCCCCTCCCTACCCCCACGAAAACCTAAACCCTTTATAAACCATCCTAACCCTCAAAAAACCCCAACCGGAACCCTAGCGATGGCGGAGGAGGGTCGGCTAGGGTTTTTCGAAGGTGGGTTGATTGTTTTAGGGGGTTTCGTGGCGGAGGAAGAAGGGTTTATGGGAAGGGATTGGGTGGTTCAACTCGCGGAAGGTTGCGAAAAGGGGAGAGGTGTTAGAACGGCACCGGCGCAGAGGAGGAACGATCTGGGCACCGACGACGGGGGCGGTGAAAAGCCGGGGGTGGCCTGGCTGGGCTGTTGGGGATTGGATGATTTAGTGGTCGCAGCGACCAGGGGGAGGGGGTTTAACTTGGCGCCGGCGCCGGGGAGGGGATCTTGGTGGGCACGGCCGGCGCCGGCCAGGAGCACGGGAATTGGGCTGGCTGGTCAGAGGTGGCGAGGGGAAGAAGTGGTGGTGGGTTTTGTTTGAGAAGGGTATTTTAGACATTTATCTTTTCCCTCCCTTTTAAAACATTAACCAAGGTTAATATTTTCTTAAAATGCTTAACTAGTGTTACCATTGAATTAGTTTTACCAATTATAGATTACCAATGATAATTTGATATGTTAGTGTTTACCATTGAGAAAAATAAAAAGCTTGAGAGTACCATTGAGAATTTCCCTATTTTTTTGTAGGGATATCAGCTATTAAATATCCGGCCAACTACATAACACCCATTGATAGTGTGACTAATAAATTAAGGATCAATCAGTTATTATGATATTTTTATTTTTGTATTTCATTTTATATTATTTTGTATATTTATTGAGATTCATCTTATGGTATATCACATTAATATGTTTTTTTCTAAGTTTTTTTTTACTTCCACTTATTATGTTTAGTATGTAACTTTTCTAATGAACGAATGTTGCCAATACTGCAAAACCGTGCATGGCACGGGTTTTGAACTAGTAGATTAAATAAAATGAATATAAAAAGTTAACTAAGGAACTGAGATTTTTTTTAATTGTAAGTTAATAGCTAGCCATTAGAGCTCGAAATAGCTAAAATGACAATTAGCTTAAAAACATATTTAGCATGTCCGTCATTGGAGTTGCTCTAATAACTCGGATCGTCCCCACCCCTGTAACAACCGGGTTAAACTCGAAACATATTGTAAAGGGTCGGGCTTTTAATGGGGCGAGCTTATACGGGCAATTGATGAGTCGAGTCGGGTTTTGAAATGGTTACTTCTTTTATATTATGAAATTCTTTGACTTCTATCAAAACGAATTTGTCTATTTCTTTATTGAAACGTACTCTAAACTCTCCATTAAAGCAGCTTGTGAGCTTTCTCTCCTCCATTAAAGCAAGCAATTGAGGTAAGATGTTTTTCTTAATCATTAAATATCAGATTTACAATCTAGTTTTAATCGTTAATGTGATTCATTTAAGTTGGTTGCCAACGGGGATAAGGGGAAAGGGGAGGATCAACCAACGATGAAGGTGGGTCGTCAGAGGTGGGGGGTGATATGAGCAACGGGTCTAGTGGGTGAGGGGGTTGCTGCCATGGGAAGAGGAAAGGGAGGAAGAAAGGGAAGGGGTGGTTGGTTGGTGGTAAGGATGGTGGTTTTTTTTTAAAAAAAAAATAATAATAAATCTAATTATTTGGTATTTGAGTCATTTGAGTGGGTTAGGGGTTAATTAGAAGAAATGAGAGAAAATTAGTATTTAGTTAAGTTAATTAGAGGATAATTAGGGAGATGGGTTTCCTTTCACAAAAAAAAAAAAAACAACGTGGTGGTGTTTTTAAACCAATACAAAAAGCTTTTAAAAGGTTAAAGGGGTGCTTTTAAAAGGATTTTTCCGACAAATTTGCCTTATTTTAAATTTGGTTAATTTTTTTTTTAGTTGGTAATATTTAAGTATGTACTCTTATCTTTCAATAAATATGCTTAGGAAAGTTTGCCTAGGAGTCTGCAATGTCTCCCAAAGTTTCAAGTAACAAGAACTGGAGGCAGTAGATTAAATAAAATGAATTGTAAAAAGTTAATTAAGGAACTAAAATTCTTTTAAATTGTAAATAATAGCTAGCTATTAGAGCTCAAAGTAGCTAAAATGACAATTAGCTTAAAAAAGCTTATTTGACATGCGTGTCATTGGAGTTGCTCTAATAAGCTAGATCCATTTTTATGGCTGATATGCGTGTCATTGGAGTTGCTCTAATAAGTCGGATCCGTTTTTAAGTCACCCCTGTAATAACCGGGTCAAACCAGTAACATATTTTAAAAGGGTCGGGCTTTTAACAGGGCGAGCTTAACGGGCAATTGACGTGTTGGGTCGGATTCTGAAATGGTTACTTCTTTTATAATCTGAAGTTCTCTGATTTCTCTCAAAACGAATTTATCTCTTTATTGAAACGTACTCTAAACTCTACATTTAAGCAGTTTGTGAGCTTTCTCTCCTCCATTGAAGCAAGCAACTAAGGTAAGATGTTTTTTCTTAATCATCTAATATCAGTTTTACAATCTAGTTTTAATCGTTAATGTGATTCATTTAAGTTGGTTGCCAACGGGGATAAGGGGAAAGGGGAAGGTCAACCGACGGTGAAGGTAGGTCGTCAGAGGTGGGGGGATATGGGCGACGGGTCCGGTGAGTGAGGGGGTTGCTGCCATGGGAAGGGGAAAGGGAGGAAGAAGGGGAATGGGTGGTTGGTTGGTGGAAAGGGTGGTGGTTTTTTTAAAAAAAAATAAATTAATCTAATTATTTGGTAATTGAGTCATTTGAGTGGGTTAGGGGTTAATTAGAAGAAATGAGAGAAAATTGGAATTTAATAAAGTTAATTAGAGGATAATTAGGAAGATGGGTTTCCTTTCGCAAAACAAATCAACGTGGTGGTTTTTTTTTAAAAAACAAAAAGTTTTTAAAAGGTTTTTTTTCGCAAAAGGGTGCTTTTAAAAGGTTTTTCTTGACAAATTTGCCTTATTTTAAATTTAGTTTAATTTGTTTTGTTTTTAGTTGGATTAATATTTAAATATATACTCTTATCTTTCAATAAAGGAAAATGTTATACATAGCCCTTAGGGCTACATATAAGCATTATATTTATACTTGAAAATCGTAAAATGCTAAGAAATCATCAAAATATAAACACTAATTACACTGATTTACGCGTGTTTTTGTCATGAATTCCTAATTTTTATAAAATTTCCAACAATGTATATAATGCTTATATATAGCCCTTAGGGATACATATAACATTACCCTTCAATAAATATGCTTAGAAAGTTTGTCTAGGAGTCCGCAATGCCTCCCAAAGTTGCAAGTAACTAGAAACGGAGATAGTAGATTAAATAAAATGAATTATAAAAAGTTAATTAAGGAACTGAAATTCTTTTAAATTGTAAATTAATAGCTAGCTATTAGAGCTCAAAGTAGCTAAAATGACAATTAGCTTAAAAGCTTATTTGACATGCATGTCATTAGAGTTGCTATAATAAGCTAGATCCATTTTTAAGGCTGACATGCATGTCTTTGGAGTTGCTCTAATAGGCCGGATCCATTTTTAAGTCACCCCTGTAATAACCGGGTCAAACCTGTAACATTTTGTAAAAGGGTCGGGCTTTTAACGGGCGAGCTTAACGGGCAATTGATGAGTCGGGTCGGATTCTGAAATGGTTACTTCTTTTATAATCTGAAATTTTCTGAACTCTCTCAAAACGAATTCATCTCTTTATTAAAACGTACTCTAAACTTTCCATTGAAGCAGCTTGTGAGCTTTCTCTCCTCCATTTAAGCAAGCAACTGAGGTAAGATGTTTTTCTTAATCATCTAATATCAGTTTCACAATCTAGTTTCAATCGTTAATGTGATTCATTTAAGTTGGATTGTTATTGAACTATTTATTTGTTTCTGTATAATTTACTTCTTATTAGGTTAGAATTTTGCTATTCATATTCTTAAGAAAGATTGATTTAATTTGATGATTGATTCTAATTTGGTTGCTAATAACCCTTGAATGTTGGGAGGGAATTATGAAAAATGGAAATCTTCAATCTAATGTTGTAATGATTCTGCATAATTTCAATCTAATGATGTAATGATTCTGGTTAATCTGATCAAGAATTCAATTCAATTGTTACTGCGCTTTCCATTAAATGCAATTTGCGGAATTTAATCTACTAGATTTACTTAATTTGATTTGATCACGCGTTTATAATTGGTACTGCTTTGCCAGTACTTGTGTAGAACTTTGATTAGATCACGCTCTTATTTGTTTTCTCTAACTTTTTCAGTAATTTGTAATGCGAAATCCGAAATTATGAGCTCAATATACAAGAATCTTTGAATTGCTTTGTTTGGGGTTTAAGAGTTGAGCTTCTTTTGAAGTATTCCTTTAAATTCTTTTTTTTTTTTGACACAAAACTCTTTGAATTCTGAAGATATTCGAATTCAATGCTGTCATGGTCTTGCCTTAAGTTGTGTGTTTTGATGGCCGCTATCACTTCTGTTGTTGCTTAAACAAATGCTTTGTGCTTGGACTTAATTTATGTGCCTTGATCACACCTATAATGCCAAATCTGAAATTATATGCTCAATATCCAAGTTTCTTTGTATTGCTTTGTTTGGGGTTTTAAGAAGTTCAGCTCATTTGAAGTACCACTTTAAATTCTTTGAAATCTGAAGATAGTCGAATTCAGTGCTGCTATGGTCTCGTCCTTAGGCTGTGTGTTGATGGTTGCTATCGCTTCTGTTGTTGCTTGATCAAATAAATGCTTTGTGCTTGTACTTAATTCCTTTTTCTTGATCACACCTATTTGGTCCTCTCATACCCAGACTAGCTGCTATATCTGATCGAATAAATAACTGTTCTTATGATTTAACAGTAGACTTACAATTTTTCTTGTTGTTGATGCTAGAGTTTTGTTGTTAATAGCTCCTTTTACATCTTTTTCTAGGTAACCATTTCTTATTCAAATCAAATGATTTCTTTTAGCAATTCATGATTTACCTTAATTGTTCAATGCATTATATTCCTCCAGGATGAGATGGATACAGAACATATCGGGGACATAGCTCTTGTATTAATTGAATAGAACCTATTCAGCATGTTTTACTGTTTCCTTACTATTGCAGCAGGTCTGTTTTGCATCATTCTGAGTTGAATTGCTCAGAAAAATCATACGGAGTATGTTTTATGTGTAGCCATTTGGTAAAGGTATGAGAACTGCTCTCACCGACAGCTTTCACGTGTATACTTAGAGTCTTGGACATGTACATTTTTTTTTTCTTTGCAACTAATTTCTTTTCTGGGATTTCTTTTGTTGTGATGCACAATGACTACCGAGTTATGTTTTTCGTTCATTACAAACTTCAAGATACAAAACTTGTTTCTCTATATATTATTTTTATGATGAGAATAATTCTTTACAAGGACCGAATAATAGGTTTTTATTGTGCCCGGTGGAAGAATTTGTTGTGTATTTTAACAAGTAGGATGTTTATATTCTGTACAGTGTTGGGACATGTGATGCATAACATGCATTAGCTTTGCTGGGCTTTGTTGTGTAGGTGAAGAGATGACCAATTTTGTCCAATATTAGAACTATATGTTCAAGTGACAATCTGACAAAAACTTTCTGGTAGGAGTAATGTAGTGAAACTAGAAAGACATTAATTACCAGAATTACGAGTACTAGTAATCAAATTATTCTGCCAGATAATGTAAACCAATTTTCATTCTTAAAACTTTTTGCTATGAGACACTGTTAAAGATGTTGAAAGAGTATAACCCGTGAATTTCAGATCATACAAGCATACTTTGTAACATTGTTGTGTGACGTGTGTCTCTATAGGAAAGAAGTGATACACAATGACAGTACCTAACCTTTCATTGTTAGTAGTGATTGCTAGAGTACCCCTCAAATGTAGATTTGAATTACCCACAATTTTATGGTGTTTATGCTATAAAATTGCAAAAATCAGAAATTTAAGAATGTGGAAGAACAGAATATGAGGAAAATTGATAGATGGCTGTAACAAGTCTTAACAACTATGCTATTAAATTATTATTTAGTAGAGTTACAACCCCGGCTTTCAAGTGACTCCCATTAACAAGCCAAAAAAAAAAGTGAAGTTCACTATAATTTTCTGCTTTATATTATACCTCCCTGATATCCTCTATTTATTTATACACTTTGACTTCCTTTCCCTATAATCAACTGTCTACCCTTTTCATCAGCTAACTCTAATAAAATAATGTGCATTATCAGAAGTGCTCCTTTCCTCTAAATTAGTCTTTTACAGTCTAGCCATTATTGAACAACTATTGGTGCATTTCCTTATTTCTCTAGCAGGCTACTTATATGTGCAATTTGTTTTTGAGATGGAAGTTGCTGCGAGATAATGTCGTCATGTTTTTGGTACTGCAGATATTTTGTGTCAATTTTCAGACAATGGGGAGATCGACCGGAGATGATATGATTCTTAGCTACAATGATGTGGTGCTTCGACGCTCTGACTTAGACATCCTTAGTGGGCCTCATTTTCTCAATGACCGTATAATTGAGTTCTACTTCAGTTATCTGTCATCATGCTATCCCTCTGATAACATCTTACTAGTTCCACCCTCAATTTCTTTCTGGCTGCAGAACTGTTCAGATGAAGATAGCTATAATGCTTTCGTTGAACCTCTAAATCTACCTGCTAAAGACCTGGTTATATTTCCGGTCAACAACAACGATGATGTAACCAAAGCTGAGGCAGGAAGTCATTGGAGTTTGCTTGTATATTATAGGACTGCTAATGTGTTCGTTCATCATGACAGCTGTAGGGGATTGAACCATGCATGTTCCAAAAAGCTTTACACTTCTGTAGCTAAATTCATGGTCAACCTAGACTCTGATGTCAAGTATCAGGAGGGTCAGTCCTCACCACAACAGCAAAATGGTTATGATTGTGGATTGTTTGTAGCTGCCATTGCAAGAACCATATGCAGTTGGTACACAAGCAGTGAACGTGTAAACCGGGAACGTATTTGGATTTCTGATGTGAAGGAGCAGGTGACACCAACCACTGTTTCAAAGATGAGGAACGAGATTCTGAGTTTAATTAAAGAACTCATGTCTGTGTCATGAGCTATAGAAAAGTTTGATCGATGTCCATTTTATTTCTATTGTAATTCCTTAACATCTTAGCTGTAGCTACTCTGTAGTATATACTAATACGGAGTACTCTTTACTGTCATGCTTTCCTTGATGCAGTTTAAAAACTTGTATTTGTGTTCTGCATTATGCAAAGCTGTAGTATATGCCCTTTTGGCTCACTACTCTCATTGACATCCTTATCTCGGACTTCCCTCATTTTCATCAGTTGTCATTACACCCTTGTCCTTTCCCTCCCCACTTCACAAAGTAGATCTAAGAGACTAAGGCCGACAATTTGTTCAAACATTGTACACACATACTAGCTACCAATGCATACAATCATACTATTGTAGTAAGTTAGATTAGTTACGGACTTAGGGTAGGTCCAGATGAGAGACCATATACTAAATCACGATAAGCAAATCAATTTTATGGTATTATTAAATATGCTACTTGTAGTTTTAAGCTAGGAGAGCATAGGAAATGAAGAACAACAGTTTAAAATATTGACAATGTGAACTATAAAAAATTAATTAAAAAAATGTCATAGAGATCGCAAGAAATTATAATATGTTTGGTTCTTTGGTAAGAAAATTGTGCATCCTGAATGCTTAAAAATTTGTGTAATTTATTTCAGAAACATTGAACATGTGATTTTGTTGGTCTTGTACTCTTGTATATATGTTGACAATTCAGCCCACTAAAATGAAAATTTCTTATTAATGGGGTTAATGAAAAATTAAGTCGGTCTAGAAAAAAAAGTCTTACAAGTTACAAACTTACAATTATCATCTACTATTAATAGATTTGTGAGTCGAGTTAAAAGTTAATCGATATCAAATCGGGTTTAGTTTAAGTTCGAGTTCGGGTTACAAAGTAATGGATAATTGATTGTCGAAAATCGACTTAGAACTTTGTAGGTCACTAATTTCAACCTATTGTTTGGATATTGACGGGTTCATATCATTGGCTATACATATTGACTTCTCGGATAAAATAAAATTTTGACAGCTTTTCACTCACCCCTTACAACTAACAAGTAGTCAACCCCTATAATCCACACCAATTATCAAAACATAACTATTTTCTTAACACGACCTTACAAATCATTAAAAAAATACTCATTAACACTTATCAGAGTTATCACTGTGTGAAATCAAGGAAGTATTTTGCAACATCATATCAAATCAAGATAATAATCCCAAAAATTAAGAAACTTAATTCATAAAAAAAACAAAAAAAATTTGTAGTCGTTTGTATAACACGCAAGCAAGTTGCAAGTGAATAGTGGTTGGTAGGGCTAACGCGGTTATAGTGCGACGGCCAAACCGTTACACGCCGGCTCCAAAACCGTGTTATAATTTTAAACTATTGTATAAATAAATACTATAATCTATCCTTAATTAAATATAATCAGACCAAATTTCATACCATAATTGTATACTAATTACCGTATTTATATATTCATTACCGTTGTTAAACCTTATTCCGTGTATAAAACCAAAAAACCAACATTCACATAATTAGCTGTCACTCAATATTAAGTTTACTCGTTCTTCTTTTTTTCCTACATTTATATAAATAAATTCCACCACGTTACTTGTTCTTTGTTTTACACTTGCTCACGTCTTACACCCATTTTCTCTCTCCTGCCGAATCAAATTGCAAGATTATTGCAAGAAATTTGAAAGATTATTTAGGTTGAAATTCATTTTCATCATCATCATCCTTCCAAAAGCTCAATTTTCAATTCGACGTTTGAAGTTTCGTTTGAATTGCATCAGATTTTTCAGGTTCGTCATCGCATTTGCTTTTATTTTGATTATTAATTGCATTTTCGTGATTATTTTCTGAATTTTTAATTTGGTTGTATGAATTCAATTTTGAATTTGAATTTTAATGTGATCATTGCTGGTTTTTTTTAGTGTTTATTTAGTCAACATTAAATTGTTAGTGGTTTTGAAGCTGATAAATTCATTCAAATTTATTCATAATTTCTTTGAAAGATTTTAATTGATTTTTTAGTAAATTTATTTAAGTGTGCAATATTTGATCAACATTCTCATAATTTAAGATATGAGAGGAAATTTTATTGTAATTCTGTAATTAGTGTACGATTCGCCGCTAATCATTATTTATAATTAATTACAACTCAAATTTGTTGATGAAATTGGACAATTCGTAAAAAGTATTACAGTACGAAAAAAGCTGTTCATGTTAATTAAATTTGGGGAAAATTAATTGGTAACCTTTTCAAAAGTGATTAATTTAGTACGTGCCGAAAAACAGAGGATAAAAGCAGAACAAGTGCAAGTGAGTCTATTCACTATTATACGTATTTAAAAAAAAAAAATAAGAAATGCGGGTTTTAATTGTAATACAACCGGAATTAGTTATTGTTGTTATGTTTGAAATGTAAATTATCAACACGACAATTATTTTAAGACGGAGGGAATAATTTGTCTTTGTTATAATAACACAGACCGTTATTTTGGGACTAGAGGAATAAATTGCCTCTGATATAATTTAGATTCATTGACAAATCGTCTAGGTGATGAAGCAAATTGAACTTGGTCACCATAATGTTCACAATGTCTAAACAGATCTAAAGAATAAAGTTAATCAAATTTGATGAATACATTTACAAGTAATTTTAAGGCTAGATTGGTTTCGTATGATTTCATCAACAAAAACGAATACAATTTCCAAATAATTAAACTACCATTACGACTAATTGTGAATCGAGTAGCGTAGCACAACCTTCCTCGACCTGCTCCATAAATTGAGATGATGATATTGTCAAAATAGACCAAGTCTTTATAAGTAGACATCATCCTACTGTAATCATCTAGCACAATTAGTCAAATAATTAGATTAATCTCCATATATTTTTTTTCTTCGTTTCTTACGTTTTGGACTTCATCTCCACTTGTGTAACACTCCTAACAACCCCAAAAATTGTTTACTAATCTCTGTTTTTGACCATTTCAGTACATTAGCTGCTTAACATCACAATACTAAGAATATTATTGAACTGCACGCTCGATTTTCGTGGTTAAATAATATTTGGATCTTCTAGGAAATGAAGGATGATTGATGCAAATTAGCTTTTGTTGTGTGATAAGCATACATTATTTGATGTATAATTAACTTTTAGGGTAATGAAAAGGCATTTCCAGCTCTTTGAACATGATGTACAATAATAATAACACTAACTGATCAAATTATTTTCTTTTCAGATACTAAATCCTCTCTGGCGACACTGGCGAGTGATAAAGAGATGACTGATCAACGAGTCTACCCAAGAGAATCACCACCGGATTCTGGTGAACACTCGAATGCTAAGCTGATGGGGAATTCTAATGAACCTTCACCACCAGTATCAGGTGAGCATCAGAGGCATGGGAGGAACATGAGTCAAGACTCATTCGCCTCCTCTAAGATGAGTTATGGGTACGGTTATGGTCCTAACCCTGGAACTTACGTCGTGCAAATACCCAAGGATCAAGTATACCGCGTCCCACCACCAGAAAACGCACACAAATTCAAGCTCTACACCAAAAAGAAGGCTGGCCGAAAGGGGTGTAGACGTTGTTTTTGTTGCTTTTTCGCTGGAATACTCATCCTTGCTGCTCTACTCGCTGTCACCGGTGCAGTTTTATACCTTGTCTACAAACCTAAGGCTCCTAGCTACTCCATTGAGAGTGTGCACGTTAAAGGAGTCAACCTCTCAACAATCGCAACATCCTCAACCATTACTCCGGTGTTTAATGTAACGTTGAAGTCCACGAATAACAACGGTAAAATTGGAATTTACTATGAGCAAGGGAGCTTGATTAAGATTTACCATGATGGGTTAAATCTATGTAATGGTAAACTGCCAGCCTTTTACCAGCCCCCTAAAAGTTCAACGGTTTTTTCAACAAAGTTAACGGGGGCTGGGATCGTGTTGTCCAAGTCAGCACGCGACAAACTGCTCACACAACAAAAGGATGGAAAGGTACCATTACACATTAACGTTAAGGTCCCTGTTAAGATCAAGATTGGATCCATTAAGACATGGACTATCAACATCGAGGATTCGTGTGATGTAACGGTTAACGCGTTAGCCACGAATGCCAAGGTTGTATCAAAGAAGTGTAAGGTTAACGCCAAGCCATGGTAATGTGGGTGAGATTGTACCCTAATTGACAAGAGCTCTTTCAGGCATAATCGATGGTTTTGGTGGGACCTAATCAAAATTGATTGACAAGAAGAGGATGACAAATTATGGAATGACCTTCTTTTAATCCTAGCTTGTGTTATTTTATTCTTTGTAAAACATTTTTTGGGAAAACTTTGTTGTCAAATATTTGATGTTTATACTAATGAATTTATGCATTACAAAAATTGAGGGGGATGTTTTCTCAAGTGAAGATGGAAAACAAGAAAGGCGAAGTAGTAGAGTTATACAAAATTTGAGGACATGTGTATAATTTATGCAATAAATGATAATGTTTGTCATGAATTATGAAGATTTGATTCCGTTTTTTGTTGTTTACATTTCTCATTCCACCTAGCATTTCAGATATAAAAATAGAAAACTAATTGAATATTTGTGTCAGAAATTCCTCGAGCCGAGATCTTGGAATTGGAATAAGTTCGGCAGCGGATCACGAAATTGAACCTAGTTTACCCGAACAAATTTGTGTTTTGGTTCACTTTTACCCTATTATTATGCAATTTTTGTGTATCCTATGCTTCACGGGTTGTTAGTGTTTTTGTTGAGATTTTAGGTCCAAAGACGACCAAATGAAGCCCATGGTTACCAAACCGAGGTTAGAAGCAAGGAAATGATGGAAAGAATCCAAGTACAAGAGCATCGTAGAAGAAAACATGAAGAAAAGGGCCCAGAAGACCCTGCACGGCCGTGCAAGATGTTGCACGTCCGTGCAGGAGTGCAGACTTGAAGCCATCTTTCTGCCAAGGCCTGCACGGACGTGCCAAATATTGCACGTCCGTGCAGATGATGCAGCACGGACGTGCACTATTTTTGTTAATGAAAAAAGGCATGCTTGGTTGAGTAAGTTGTTGTGTTGGATTGTTTGAGGTTAATGCATGAAATTAGTGTCGAATTATTGTGAATGAATTAGTGAAGTAGACTTAGTTGCTTGGTGATTTGCTTGTCTTGTTTTAGGGTGGTGACTTAGAGCTTGACTTGGTGATTA